ATTGTTTGTAGAAGGTTTTTTAAATGTTCTCATAATGTTGGGAGAAAACGTTCTTAGAACATAAATCTTGGAACATCCTTTAAACATTAGAATGACAACAAACTTCAGATGAATAAGGTTGTGTTGCTCTTTTAAAAGAACATCCTTGGAACGTGGGGAAGTTTTGTAGCCTGTCCCATTATTGTTCCTAACTTTTCTCTTAAATTTCTGTAAAGTTTATGCAAGTGTTAGAATAAAAAACTTTCAATACAATGTTCATGAAATTGTCATTAGTATTTGATGAATGTTCACATTTGGCAGAAAACATTCTTTGAACAACATTCTTCGAATGTCCTTTCAATACATTTCCGGCTTAAAGTGGGACAGTACACTGGAAAATCCCCTGTGTTTCATTAACAGCGCTCAGTGTGATCACTAGTATTGACAACTGAAGTTAATGTTTAAATCACTAAAGGAAAGAGGAACAAACATTTGAAGCCACCATTGTGCTGATCAGTGTTTTGGCCTCTTGAACCTTGATAGTTGTATTAGGTAGTACCTCTGGCTGCAGAATTAGTGTACAACCAAGTAGTCAAGTCAAGTCAAGTCAGTGGTTCATTTCAAACAAGTCAAGCGAGTCCTGCTAAAGGGTCAAGTCGAAGTCAAGTTACAATACCAAACAGAAAAAATACGTTTACATTGGTCTCAAACTTATTTATTTACCTCAAAAATTATTACCTTTTTTATACATTTATATCGTAATATTAATAATATACATATAATTTATTATAGCATGTATTTATGTTTATAAAACTGTGGAATTCTTCTTAATATAATAATTATACGAAAAATGTTGAAGATAAAATATTTGAAGGTACATTTGCAAGTGTGATGCAATTATATTGGTTTAATAGTAAATGTCATATGTTTAAATTTGCTTATATATTTTTTTATGGAATATCACCGGCCGACATTAACTTTCCCATTAAGAGCCAATATTTGACCCCAGGGCCATTGATTTCCAGGGGCATTTTTTTTTCTAATTATGTTCTAACCATTTTTTTTTTCTAGCCATGCATTTCACTTTTTTCAGCGATTTTTATCATATTTTACTGCTGATTCTATACATGCAGTTTTTATGTCCCGGTGACCAGTGAAAGTGCAGTTCTGACTCTCTGCCCATTCATTTAGATAGGAGCCTGGTCTTGTTAGTCGAAATAGCGGCCTGGAGGTGTTGCTAAGATGGCGGCCGAGTGACATGACTTGCCTAAAAGGACTTTGGTATCACTGAGAAATGTCCTGCTCGAGTTGTCCTTGCGATGGAGGTTCGGGTTGAATGAATAGTTCTTCCAGAGTTTCATCATCAGACTTGCACTCTGATTGATATGGTAAAATTTACGTCATTGTTCATTTAGAATCGTAATTGTTTCGTTTGCGGTGTGGGAAGCCTCAGGACAAGAAAAGCTGATGTTGTTATGGCAATGGGCGTTTTTGTTTTCGACGCGCTGTACGCGGTTAACCAATCACAACAGACTGAGCTGTCTGACCAATCAGAGCAGAGTAGCTCGCAGAAAGGAGGGATTTAGAGAGATTGATTCATCTGACGAGTTGTTTGAGAATCATTGAAAATGTGGTGATATGTATTATTATGAGAAAATTAAACAGTTTTTTGACGTTTGATGCATGTAAACCTGTTGTAAGAGACTCCAAAACAACATTAGTAAACTTTAAAATTGCATAATAGGGGCTCTTTAACATTAAGGGAACTGGAAATTTGAATGTTCTTTAGAATGTTGCAAATCAATTTTCCCTGGTATGTTAAGTAGTTAATAAAACTTAAGTTGAAAGAATGTTTTAGGAACATCAAAAACAAAACAAAATATACATAAATAAACATAAACTTAAATAAATATACTCTAACATAAATAAGACTGGACATTTTAAAGTTTCCATAACCAAAACACAATGGGTCTCATTCATGAAACATTGGTAAATATACGAGTAAATATGAGAGTGATTTGCGCGTAAAGAGACCTTCCCGAAAACTCATCTCCTGATTCACAAATACTTCGTAAACGTCAGATGTGATAGTGAAATGTGTGTGTGTGTGTGTGTGTTAATGAATTCCAATCAGTCGTAAATGGGACGCGTGTGCATGCTCATTCTCAATTACCATAAATCCCGCCCATTTAATCCGACTGACAACTATATATGGGCATCATATTATGACACCAAATGAAGGATTTCAACATGTCTTCTCAAAAGCGAATGAAAAAGAAAAAAATTCTCATATTCAGAAATCGAAGTTTTATTATCAAGAGTTCATTCAAAACACCACATTTTATTTTCAAGCGTAGGCTACACAGCAAAATCCCCAGTGTTAAATTAACACTGAAAAGTGTGAATTATATAAACTCTGAGCAGAGTGTTAAATTAACACTGAAGCAGTGTTACAGTTAATAAGATAATTAAGTGAATAATTGAGTGATGATTGAGCATTATTGAAGACACCTGATGTTAACAAGCAGAATCACAGAAGGAGAAAACCGGAATTTTAAGTCACCATTATGGTGATCAGTGTTTGCTTTAGTTGGGCTCTTGACCCTTAATTCTTTAACTTTATATTTTGTTTGGCTGCAGTACATGAGTTATAACAGCCAGATGAACAAATAGAAAAGGTGATCTGATGGTGATGGTTGTGTTTTAACATAATCATTATTTCACAATCATTTGACCTGAATCACTGAACTCATATAGAGCCTGATTTCTGAGTTAGGTTTACTTTATTAATTATAGCAGCAGTCACCTTGTACAGCATAATACTTTTAACGTTTACAATGTATTCAAAATAATTTCTTATAAGTTTTACATTTTTTTACAATGTTTTTTTTAAGACACACAGACATGAATAATTAGCCTATGAATCTCAACAATGGTGACAATTATAAAGCATGTGGCAGTGCATTCTGGGTGCCACCAATCAAAATTAATTCATGGCTCCCATCATGCATTGCTGCATGAATAAATAATGAGCTTATGTTCAGAGGTGATCTGTTTGTCACCATTGCTGAGATTTATACGCTAATTCTTGATGTCTGTGTGTGCCTACATAAAATATTTCTTGGATTTTTTTTTTTTATTTGATCATTTGGATTTCATTGAAAAGGCTAAAAATGGTATGTTCTAAAGTGACTGTGCTGCTAAAATCCATAAGGTAAATTTAACTCAGAATTTATGCTCTTGATGAGTTCAGCAATTCAGGTCAATTAATGATTATGTTAAAACACAACCAACACCATCAGATCACCTTTTCTATTTTTTCATCTTGCTGTTATAACTCAAACAAAATCTAAAGTTAATGATTTAAGGGTCAAGAGCCCAACTAAACCAAACACTGATCATCACAATGGTGACTTACCAATTACGGTTTTCTCCTGCAGAGATTCTGCTTGTTAACATCAGGTGTCTTCAATAATGCTCAATCATCACTCAATTATTCACTTAATTATCTCATTAACTTTAACACTGCTTCAGTGTTCATTTAACACTCTGCTCAGAGTTTATATAATCCACACTCTCAGTGTTAATTTAACACTGGGGATTTTGCTGTGTACATAGTGGTGTATCAGGTCCTAAAGAAAAGCAAGCCTGGCCGCATATTACAGATGCAGTTAATGGCGTTTCATCTGTTAATCAAACAGTCCCAGAAGTAAAAAGAAAAACCGTACGTAATTACTATATATAATATTTTTTCAAAATTCTGTGTAAATATGACCCGATTAAGGTGAATTAAAATGCAGCCTTAGTTATTAATGAGCAAAACGTTCGGATGTTTAGCGCACTATTTACGCGTGGCTGGGAGCAGGTGTAGATTTCTTTCGTACCAACTAACATTTGGAAAATACGAACATTTTAATGAATCCGAAAATTTACGCCAGAACCACTTTACACACGATTTACACAAAAATTTGTTCTGCTCGTGTTTCATGAATGAGACCCAATGTTTGGAAAACGTTCTTAGAACACAAAATTGTTAGCTGGGACAAGAGCAGAAGATAAAGTGCAGAAAAGCAAGAGAAAGAAGATTTTATACAATTTATTTGTGGTAAGTTTTTTATTTTATTTTATTGTGGTCGTGATTGTGTGTGGAAAACCTGAGTCTAATTTATAAAGGTTGTGATTATCAAATTTTTTAATGAGAATTAAAAGGACTTAACAAATGAAGTGTGAGTGTTTTATCACTTACCCTTGTTTCAGTGGTGAATTATCCACCCATTTCATGATCCCCTCAGTCTCAGAGTCTGACAAACCAATCCACACTTTCTCCTTGACTAATGCAGTTATGAACCTCTGTGTGAATATAAACAGGAGTAAGTGTGATTCCTCTCATTAACTAACAGTCACTCACACAATCTCACCTGCTTCTCTTCAGTGTTGATGATGACCAGATCAGCTCCTCCATCTCTGCAGTATTTCCTGCTCTCAGACCAGCTCTTCGGCTCATTGGATATGAACAAATTGCCATTTCCTTTCAATAAACATATAAACACTTTGCTCAGTATTTGTGTTGTAAAGTGCAAATAAACATATACATCAATTTGCACAAACCTCGTTTAGATAATTCATTCTCTAATTCCAGGTTCTTCTTACTCAAAGCATCAACACTTATCTGTAACTGACTGTTCTCAGCACTGAGATCATTGACTCTGGTCTCTAACTCCAGTTTCTTCTGACTCAAAGCATCAACACTTCTCTGTAACTGGCTTTTCTCAGCACTGAGATCATTGACTCTGGTCTCTAACTCCAGTTTCTTCTGACTCAAAGCTTCAACACTTCTCTGTAACTGGCTTTTCTCAGCACTGAGATCATTGACTCTGGTCTCTAGTTCCAGTTTCTTCTGACTCAAAGAGTTGAAGTTGTTCTTCAGTTGGTCATTTTCAGTCATTAGATCAGTGTAATTGTCCTGTAAGCTGTTGATAGTGTGATTGAACTCTTCAACTGTGTTCTTGTAACTCTTTAACAGGTCTCTCTCTGCTGTGATGGTGATGTACAGTGTGATGAAGACCAGCAGAAGAACACACATGATCCCGAGACACACTGTCATCAACACCAAACACCTGCTTCCTCCTGACACACAGAGACAACACACACGGATATCAGTAAATAACAATTCACTCTATGGTAAAAGATTACTAAATCAACATTCAAAAGGTCTTTTTAAAGAGTTTTCTTCTGAATGCTATTTTATAAATGATAATTCACAGAAATTAACCTATGGTAAAATATGCAAACAAGAACATATGCTGAAAAATATTGTTTTAATACATTTCAAATATAAACGCTGACGTTCTTAGAGAGTTCTCATTCTTAGAGAACAATTATTGAAATTGTATGCAACATTTCCGAATTCCTCAAACATTATCACCACCATCAATGCTTCAGAATAAACTTTGTACTTACTGCACTTTTGAGCTTTTCTTTCATTCTGGTGGTGATTTGGTGTTTGAGGTCCAGTTGTATCCACAGCATCTCTTTTTTCAAAATTGACATAATAGATGTCTAATTCCATTATTTGCAGTTTCTTACAAAAGTCTTACAGTACAGTATGTGTTCACAGATGAGCTTTGGTCTCTAGAATGAGTACCGTTTATATAAACAATAGTGACCTGCCCATTTTTGCGGAACCCGTGCAAAATGAAATTATGCCCTCCTCTGCTGAGATCTTTTGCTAAGGTTTAATGTCTTTTATCTTGATTTCATATATTTTTTTCTGTTCTTGTTCCCCTTTAATGCATTTTGAATGCATTGTGTTCTAAGGGATATTACTGTTTAATGGAAAACAGCATATTACTGTAAAATTTGGCTGTTTTTTTACAGCAATTTTTTTACAGAGTTGTAACTAAAACCCCAGGAACTCACTATTAAAACAGGTTCTTTATCAGGGGAAGGAACAGCATTGGAAAACAAAACCTAGCAATAGCTGTAGCAAAACAAATTTTATTACAATAAAAATTGATTTAGGAAAAAAAAAAAACCAAGGAAGTCCAAAGTCCAAAAAATCTGAGCTCAGGGAACAGTCAAAGTTCAAATCAGCCTCTGCTGGGCATCTGAATTGCAGCTGACGTCCATTTACTCACACACCGACGCACGATCAATGGTATATTTCCCATGTTAAAATATTAAGGGTCAACTGCCCAACTAACAGAGGTGGAAAGAGTAATAAAATATTCTACTCAAGTAAAAGTACTACTACTTCAATGAAATTTTACTTAAGTACAAGTAAAATTACCGGTCTAAAAATCTACTCAAGTAAAAGTAAAAAGTAGCTCATTTAAAATTTACTCAGAGTAAAAGTTACTGAGTTACTTTTTTAACAGCAGGGTGGGGGACTCTCCCGTGTAAAATGGTAGGAGATTTTCACAGTATGATAACGTCTCAGAAAATATCACGGTTTACAATTATTAAATAAATAAACTGTATTGTTAAATTATGGTTATTATTATTATTATTATCATCAGTCAAAATGACAGTTAAATGAATGAAAACGTTTTTTCTTTTTTTTTTTCTTTTATTATAACAAACTTGAAACCATTTGTTTGTTTTGTTTATTAAAATTTCAATAAAACATGTCTAATCAATTAAATTCAATAATTGATAATGAATTAGATTAACAACTTATTTTTAACATGAATAATTTATTAAAATGTTTAAGAATAATATTGTCCTATGAAATGTATTTTATTCAGAAAATTAATGTTTATTTTTATGATTTAATCCAAATATATTATCAAAAACGGTGGTAATCAAATGTAAATTTAAACTTGTGTCCTTTTACTTTTGGGGGAAGCGCTGCAAAAACGGATTTACTAAATGAAACCATGGACAAAAAAAAATATATTCCTTTAAATAATGTTTAAATAAAATGTATTATTATTATTGTTGTTATTTTTATTATTTTGAGAAGTAGAATAGTAATATATTTCTGTCATAATGTCTCCTAGTAAAACCAAACTTTTATTTTTACGGGTTGTAGTGAAGACCAAAAATGTAAAAAAGTGTTTCAAAGTGTATTTGACAATGGTTTTGTTTTTCTCAAATAAAATTATGAAAATGCTCATTAGGCGTTCTCTCAGAGCAGCTCTGGAAATGTTCATGTATTCATATCCTCAAATTGTTTGTGAGACGCTGAAAACACCATGAACGTCACGCGTACTTATGTAAGTTAGTAGACAAAGCGGCACAGCTCAGCAGAACAAATAGGGTTACCTGCAGTATTTTTGTGCTTAAATATTCACAGACCATGTCGTGATTGGATTTATTGCACAGTTCTACTTTCCATGTATTCATCCATTATTTATACGTGACATCTGCGTTATGTAAATTCCATTTTCATGACTGGATTCCGGGATTCCCTCTGCATCACGTAAGTCATTCGGCATTAAGTTATAATCGGGACATAGCCTACCTTTATCTGCAGGAGGGATGGTGTCCTATGTATCCTCCTTTTGCAGCCACTTTGCGTCCACATTTTTTGCAAATTGGATATCTATCCTCGAGGACAACCACTCTTTTTTTCTACAAAGTATTTTCATACTGGCCATAATCCGCTTCATAAGAATTCGAGGGCGCTTCGCTTTCAGCTTCAGCTGGGTCTGCGTCACCTTTCTTGCGCGTTTGTTCTCCCGCCCTTCAACCAATGCAGTAGTTTCCGGAGTGTGATTTTTTTTCTCCCTTGTATTATTATTTTTTACTCAGTAACGGATATGATTTCAATTGTAGTAACCTACGAAGTAAAATACTTAAAACAAAACGTACTTAAGTAAAAGTAAAAGTACAGATTTTTAAAAACTACTTAAAAAAGTAGAAGTACACAAAAAAAAATATTCAATTACGTAACGCGAGTAAATGTAATTCGTTACTTTCCACCTCTGCCAACTAAAGTACACACTGATCACCATTATGGTGATAATCACAGTTATTATTATAACTTTCAATAAAACAACATCTAAATCTCTGTCAAACCTTGCAGGGCCCCGTGTAGATAGTCCAGGTTCAACATGTGTGTGCTGGCAGGGCCCAGATGTGTAATAGAAACCTCTGGCTCCATCTAGTGGCCAATATGAGTTAAAGTCTATTGAAAGGGCCCAAAATTCAGCACAGTGGCTCAATAGGAAATACTGTTGACTCACAGCAAGATGGTCTCTGGTTCAAGCCTCGGCTGAATCCTTTCTGTGTGGAGTTTACATGTTCTCCCAGTGTCAACGTGGGTTTCCTCCGGTTTCCCACACAGTCCAGAGAAATGCAGATTTTGTGGATTGGTGAGTGCTGGGTTGCATCAGGAAGGGCATCCGGCGTAAAATCTGTGCCAAACCCAATGTGTTTGTGGGGAAGTGGACACTGCAAATGAGCGGGACTAACGCTAGGAAAATATATATTGTAAGGGCCCCTATTATGCTTTTCTTCAATATGTTCCTTCAGGTTCACTTATAATGTTGGTAAAGTTTTTTCCCCCCACAAAAACAGTCATATATTCATCAAAAAAAAAAATTATTTTCTAACATAATTTGACACTTTCTCTTTCAGAAACACGCATAGAAACAAGTATCAACGCATTAAGTGGCTGGACATTCAGTAAAGTTAACTAAAAAGTGTTAGTGACATGTGACATTTTTTTTTATCTCTCAAAACTTTTTATACCCCATTAACTCTCCAGCAAACCAATGTATCCTTACCAGTACATATTTGAACAAACAACATGCATTTTGACAAACCGATATTCTTTAATAAAAGTATCCAATGTGTATTTGATCAAACCAATGTAACCAATGGGTTTGACACTAAAGCACATATTCAACCTGTAAACCAATGCATATCATACCAGTACTTATGTTTTATTTCCTGAACAGCCTCTCATAGGGGCTGTTTACACCTGGCCACTTCATGCGTTTTCTCAGATCGGATAGCTATCTGATTTATCAAAACGATTCCATTTACACCTGGTCACATAAATGTGTTTTTGCAAAACGGATATAAATCCGATCTTCAATTCCCGCGCTATATGCAGATTTAATGGAGTGCACGTCACCGAAAGCAACAGATATGAGCTGCATTTTATTGATCATCAGCTAATTTCAAAATCAAAGACCGCAATAAGAGAGAGCGGCAACAGCCCTGGTAAGATCATTTCGTTTCTTTACTTTTAATGAAGATGATTAGTGTGTTAAGCGTCTGTGACTTACTTTCACTTTGATTTGCGATAGTTTGCACGTTGGCTTGATGAATAGATGCTCAGCTGCTCATCTGTGGTAATGCGTGTTGCAGTAGCGACGTCATATCTGACTATAACATGACATATAGCCTATATAACACGCTCTCACACGTTTATTTTTTAGCATTTTTGGGAGGAGTGAAATTTACATATGTGGTTTCAACAACCAGATGCATTTACACTTGTCCAGTTTCATCTGGAATGCGGCCCAGACCACCTCCTGAAGTGGTTTGAGCGATCGGATTTAAATCCGTCTCGAATGCGTTTCCGAGGGCATTTACACCTGGTCTTTTCACGATCGGATAGCTATCCGATCACAGAAAACGCATGAAGTGGCCAGGTGTAAACAGCCCCATAGTTTCTTCTTCAGGTGAGCTCAGATTACAGCTGGTGTGTGTTCAGTCAGTTCAGACGATTAAACACTTTTTCTTTCTTTTCTCCACTGGGGGCCGACGTAGAACTGCATGAATGGCTTCATCAAACACAGTCTTCAGGCCTCGCTGTGTTAATGCTGAGCACTCCAGGTACTTCACAGCTCCTGTTTCTGTAGCCATAGCCAGACCTTCAGTGTAAGTGATGGGGGTCGTTGTCATATTTTCCAGCCTTTCAAGGGTGTCCTTTAAGGGTTCTTTTAGGTAGGCGTTTTTCAGAGCCCTCTGTTTGATCAGAGAAGTTTTAGTGTTTGTTTGTGTGGTAACAAAGAAATCCAAAAAATGTTTAGGAGAAGTGCTAGACTAATAGCCTGGTAATACCAGACTCTGCTACTTCACTTTGCTTCGTACACAGAGTCTGGGATAGCATAATAGAGAAGTGTTTTCTCTCTCGCTAGGGGGCGCGTACTGAAGTTTAAAATCATTGGTTACCCGTAAGCCAATCAGATAAGTTTGTTTATGACGTATGTTATAAGCCGACACAGCCGCATCGAACCACAGACATCATATTCATAAAAATCAATCGACAAGATAGTAAGAGGTCGGAAGACCGCGGTTTCACGTGGAGCATTTGGAGATTTTTAGAGATTATAGACTCTAGGAACAACATCTCAATGAACAACATCTCAACTATAAAGGCCTATCTCAAGTACAAGCCGGTGCAGTTCGACGATTTGGGCAAATAAAAGCCCGGGCTATTATTTGAAGTTTTACGGTATTTAAGACCTGGAAAAGAAAAGAGACACTGACCTGTCAAAAGGCTCCCCAGTTTCTCGCTGACGATCGGTAATAGTTGATAAATTAAACTTTTCCCAAAGGGAGTAGGGCCACAACATCACCTCCATTCAAAATGTTTAATACACACTCTTCGTGTTCGGGCTTCAGTTTGCTAATGCCGGGAATA